TACTGTAAAAAGAGCCAGTCTGGAGAGCTGGAAGCTGGCTCAACTGAGGAAACAGCGAACAGTGGGACCCTTTTATGCGAAAGTGGGCGGGTCCGACTGTGGTAGATGAGAAGCATAGATAACTGTTATGTTGAAAGTTCAAGCTGCTGATCAGCCAACTGATTAGCTTAAGAACGGTTACAGAAATGAATCATCTCTAATGCGAGATAGAGAGAGAGCTACAGAGAGCGATAGAATACATTGAAGAAATGCACATAAGTAATGAAATAACTCACAAATAAAGGATTAAAGCATCAGCAATATGACAAAGCGATAAAGCACAAACATGGTGAGAAAATAAGCCGTAAAATGCGTAAAAATAAGAGAAAATAGAGAAGATATTCTCTATACTCCCGCCGTCTTAAAGTGAGTGAGATGAAGTGGATTACAATGAAATTAAATGACCATGTTCCCTAAAGCCTCCTAGTTCTCATGTGTACGACTCGCATTCCTTGATCGTCCTCTGTAATGCGCATCTTCCTTTCGAGTACGGTGCCCGTCGTCGGAATGGGGGTCCGGCGTGCTCTTCTTGGTGATCGGTTGCGACGCAGATCTCTTCGAGATTGGCGAACTGCAAATCCCTCTCGATGATCGGACACTGCGCGAGCCCTTTGAAGGTGACAAATGACGACGATCTCTTGATTGAGCATGGTGAAGGCCTCTCAGACTTGTTGAGCCACGATGTTCCTTCTGGGATCGAGTGTGGTGTGAACTTCTTGAAAGTGTGCAGCGACAAGCTTCCTTCGAGTGAGCACGATAGGAGTCTTCACGAGGCGTCGAGCGACGATTCCTTCTCGCAGGCTGGTCGTGAGCTGAACCTCTTGAGGGATACTCCTTTGGAGATTGTGCGCGAACGGACTTCCTGTTGCTGTCGTCTGCGTCTCTCGAATCACTCCTGTGAGGAATGAGCACCGGGACAGCAGCTGTGGAGCCTTGAGGCGTGTGACGACGCTGCTTCTCCACTTCTGTCATGCGATTGTTGAGCAGATTCATCTCAAAGGCAATCTTCTTTAGGTCTGGCATTTCCAGCTTCTCGTCAATTTCTCTGACATGATGTAGTATTTCGTCAAGTCTTATGCCTAAAGCACAGTGGTTTTCCATCATTTCGGAAGCTTTCGTGTTCCTTCGGTGTTCGTGAGCACAGTGTTTAGCTGTTCGCCGATATTCGGAAACCCTTCTGCCGCCGTTTTGAGTTCTCGTAGTACTTCCTTGTTGTATTCTTCATACTGTCCAATCCTTTGCTCGAGGCATTCGATTCGTTCGAGTGCTGCTGACGATGAGACAACAGCTGGAGCGTAGTCGTCGACCTTTGAAGCTGCTAGATGTAGCGTCTTGCTAGCTTGCTGTAGAAGTTCTTTGAGCAATGTCCTAAGGCTCGTCCCTTCTTGCTTACAGGTGCGTCAGGGTTTTCTTCAGACGAGATTCTTTTGCGAGACGTTCCTGGTCTGGTGGAACGTTCCCAGGAAGCGGTGGTGGCTTTGGCGGTCGTTTGCTATTGCCGGCTGGAGTTGATGTCGTTGTTGGCACAACGGGGTCCATAGTAACTGAAGTGACCGAGATTTGCGATAGATTCACTAAACTACATGCATGCAACAATAGAGGGACATGCATGAGGCATGCAGTTATCATAGACGTTTCTTTGCTAGCGTTCGTTCTTTCCATGCTCGGAGTACTGCTTTTATAGGCGAACACACAATACAAAAACAAAGCATGGACACTCCATAGATAACTCTAAAAAGCAGTTTTGTTCCTCCCAGAATGTGTATTCCGAACGTCCAGAAGAAAATGTAGCGTATGAGGATTGCTACGACCAGGCAAGCAGCAACGATGAGAATCGTTAACGATGAGAATCGTTTTGTACCATGTTACCATGACGTCGAATATGTGAAGAAAGGCTGGCAAGACTATTTCGTCATATAGGTTGCTCTCGCCGTTTACGATCCTTTTCATTGTCCCATGTATTGTCCGTGTCCATTGCAAGACGCCCGTCAGCTCGAACGTGGTGATGGTCGATCCACAAGAAACTTCGCACTCCTGGTGAACCCTTGCCGTTTCCGAGCTGTAAGTGATATTGGAGGATGCTCCTCCGTGATGGCATGGTGTCGTGAAGAAGTGGTTATGACATCGAATACTTGCAATCGTGGGTTCTCCATTGGTGAAACAGGTAATGTTCGCTACAGCTATTTGTGGGCAGCTGTAGCATCCCTGTAAGATCGCGTTGTTCACTTTGCCTCGTAACGGCACTCCGCCCGTCATTCGTCCTCACCTTGTCTCGCCAGACCCACCGCATTTCCGTCAGCACTTCTACTCCACCTCGCTCGCTGCCGTTCCTGCTCCCTTCGCAACGTGACGCCCAACCGCGTTCTGCCTCGCTCGACCCACACTCCAGTTGATTGGCAATCGCTTGCCTTGCCAGCGATTCAGCTAGAAGGTCATCCCTTATGCAGCCTCTGGCGCAAGCTTGAGCCATGCGACCCGCCCTCGCACCATCGAGACCCCCCCAGGCTTCCCGCATTCCTATTACCTCCACTTCTCGAACCACGCCTTCCCCGTCATACGCTTCACGCGCTACCATCTCGCCACGAGGCAGTTGACTTCGCTTCGCTTGGCTCAGAAATAAAACAGTTGGACTGAAGCGAACAATTGAGTGTTCGAGCCTCTTCTTCTGAGTCACATATGAGAGTTGGAGAGTTTTCATGTTTCCATATGGCGATCTGCGATCCATCAGTAATGAAGGTAGACGACAATTCAGGGCGTCGGGGGCATCGTGACCGTGGCTTAGTGAAATTATCATGTATATCGATTTGGATCGGGATTGTCGGCTTCAAGTGGATTACTTTCCTCTTGGTCTTCCGTCCGTAATCCGTGATTGACGTGACTTCCACCTCGAAGAGTTCGTTCCACTGGTGACATCCGAAGATTTCGTAGGATTCTTCGTTCTGATTGGTACGTTGAGACCGGTGTCAAATGAGGCATTCGCTTGCTGGGATTAAAAGCAGTCCGCCATCCGCCTCCACAGCTCTCGACACATCTCGTAATTCCGGGATATTCATTGCCTTGATGAAGCTCGGGAATCTTGGATGAGGCGTTGATGGAGCCGCATTTCTGATCCACGCAAGATCCCATATGTGCGCATCTTTTCGAGTCTACTAAAGGTGGATCGTGACATTCATGCTGATAATTATGTCTTCCTTTGATGCAAGAAAGTGTGTAGTTGCTTCCATTGGAAGTCCAAGGCCTCCTTGACATGACGTGTGGTTGTAGTTGTCGAGATGCACGCGTTGTTATTCTGAAACTGTTGAGTTTTGAAAGATTTCCGTTAGGGTTTTCTTACGTGCATTGTTTCGTTCCATTTGGTGAAAACCTGCAGATTGTCATTCTTTGTGAAAAAAACGTCGATGTTGTGACATCCGTTCGTGATGACAATCGAGCATGCGATGAATGACGCAATGAGCGGTGCTCGGAGAAGAGCATCAATGTTCTTTTGCTGACGACGGCGTGTGTGTCCATAGTTTGCCTGATCGATTTGGAGCCACACCCGTCGTGAGACAAGTAACATAGAATTCCTCTCGCCCCATTATTCGGGATGGGTTTCGGCTAGTACCATCAGGCACATAGCATAGAAGGTAGCATCACGCACTATTCGCCAATGTTAGAGCAAGATCTCGCCATTGGTCGGGCCGTATGGCAGCTTGAGGAAACACTCCGAGGTTTAGAAAATTGTTGGTCGGTTGCAGACCAGCAATGAACATTCTCGCAGAATGAGATTGCCTCACAAGTTGTGTGGAGCACTGTAAGACGGTGTCCATCTGAGAACTTCCATTGGACGTGGTGTGGATGCAGGGTCACCTAGGGTGGGAATAAGATCGTTTCGTTGTTGTCGTGATTTTCCCTGAGTTGACAATGCTCCTCTGGCACATGTATCGGAAATGCGCTGGAACAATTTTGCAGATGTAAGCTGGCACCACCTCCCGAATGGCCTCGTAATCTCTCCTTCTAGGCCTTCACTCGCATTTTATAAGAGATTCGGCCCTGATGGTACTTTTAAACGATTGCCAATGTCATCAGAAGCTAATAAAGTGTCCATAAGCATTTGACTGAGGACTGACGGTTGGTAAGGAAAGAATATACAAGCCGCATAATGGTCCCCCGCCTTCTGTGTGGACGAGGACCGCAGGTTGTACACGAGCACATTGAGTAGTCTCTCTGTCGATTCTGGTCTCTCGACTCGCACACGTAGACGTTGGTTCTCAGAATGGACTTCCTCTTGCGATGTCGAATCGTTCAGTTCTAACGCGAGAAGATTCACTGGGCGAAGTACGTTGCGTCCATTCGGTAGTCAGTCAACTTCCGAACCACCGTCTTGTCGTGTGGGAAGGAACGATAGTTTTGTTGGGATTAGTCTTCCTATTTTCCATGTGTTGTCGACGATGTAAGCACTGGGTCTTTGCCGAATCAGAGACTACTGTTCCTTCGCGGCTATGGGTTTGCTGTTGAGTACGCGTTTTGCTGCTGATGCTTGAGCTTGTGCGCTTTCTCGTAAATGGAAGCCGGCGGGCGACAGTCCCATAACCCAACCGTAGCATACCAAAGCGCGTCAAGTATTGTTGGCTCCAGATGTTCCAGAAGCGTTCTGTGAACTGGCTCGTCTCGGGCGCATCTTCGGCTTGTTTTCGCGACGGAAGCGCTACAGCTTCGATTGCGGGAACGTGAGCTGAATTACTCAAATCCCTTAAGTTGGGTAGCGTGTCCACCGGAATAGTGACGTGTGCTTGATAGAATCTATGTGGATAAGGGGCGCCCAATATACATCGCAAGAGGATATCAGCAAAGCATGCTGGCAACGACTTATCTACGCAAACTTCTATCAAGTCCACGTCACTTCCGGTGACACGCCTACCCCAACTTTCGGATCTCGACTGTATCGATTCTTCTCATCCATTTTGATCGCTTTCGAAAGGGTATGTGATTAGCATGTCTCGCTGTATGAAGTCCATCGGACGTAGCATTGGTGTATTTTCCCATCGCTCTTCCTGATATGTAAGCGGCCTGCTGTTAATGCTTCCTTCAATTTCCGTGAGAAAGGTCTCCATGGTCTCCTTTGTCGGAATGGTCCGTTGCATGACCTTTGTAAAGGCTGTGTTTGATCGACTTTATCAGACGCTCATATAGGGCTCCCTGCCACGGAGCATAGGGCGTGATTCGTTCTTCCACACAATTCCTTTAACAGCCACTAAATTTGCCAACGAAGCATCATTTATCACAGGTAGTACCACGTCTCTGAGGATTTGCTCTGAGGATCTCCTAGCAAGAAATTCGGCCTATTATCAGAGGTGATGCTTTTAGGTACTCCTCTTCTGGCAAAGAATCTTCGCAGAGCTAGCAGTAGATGGTTAGTGCACATGTCTGGAACGAGCTCTAACGATAAGTGAACTAGCCTTGTCGTCGCGCATGTCAGGAGTATTCCATAGGCCTTGACTGGTTCTTCGCCTCGTTTAACAGACAGCGGTCCGAAGTAGTCAATGCCGATGTGTTCGAACGGTCATGATCGTCTTACCCGACGCTCGGGGATATCATCCATTTCTGGGTAGCGGTAAGGAAGGTTATTGAGTTTCTGACAAGGTACACATCTTGTAGTGATAGTGCGAACCATTTGTTGAAGTTTTGGTATCCAAAACCGTTCCCTTACATTCGCCATAGTGTGTCCTGTCCCGCAATGGAGAGGTGTATGTGCGTGCTCTACAATGAGCTGTGCAAGATCAGTCTTACTGGCGACGAGATTAAGGATGCCGTGTGTCAGTCTGTAGGTTGGCATTTCCTAGTCTTCCTTGACAACGCAGTAATCCGTCCTCATCTTCCCGAATTCTCAATTGTTTCAGTGCTAGCTGCTTTGCTGTAGGCAGGTGAACGCTCTGATGATTACGAATGATGACGCGCAGAGCTGCTTCCTTTTCTTTGGCTGATATATACGGAAGCGTTTCGGCTGAGCGTGTTTCGGGAATGTTTCTTAACACACGTTCCTGAAGATCTGTGTTGACTCGATTGAGTAGCCACTTGATGAAGCGTAGAACGTAGCCCACTACATTTTGGCTGAAGAGAAGTGATCGTTGCCTCTTCCAATCCAGTAACTCTTCTTGAGCTTCTGCAGATGCCATGTTCGAAACATGGGCGTTCTCGTCTTCAGCATTTGTGAGGCAGAACAACTTGCATCCTTCTAGCCATTCTTCCATTGGCTTATGGATGTAGGGAGCTGTCCACAAAATGTCTTTCGTCAGCCCTCTCGTTGCACAGTAGGCTGGGTTTTCTGTAGCATATCCGAAAAGAACTGGCACTTGGATATTTGCGAATATTATATTTATTTCTCGTACTCGATTTCTCACTAGTACTCCAGCTGATTGATCGGGCGTTTGATTTTCCGTCCAGCTGAGCGCTATTTCGGAGTCAGAAAGATGATGATGTTGGTTATCGCCAAACGGTCCTTCATCGCTTCATACAAGGAGAAGGCTAGTCGCGTTGCCATTGTGAGAGCGTTGAGCTCCATTTTTGGGATGGTAGGTCTTTTGGTTACCGATGGAAGTTTGGACTTCCCAGCCACCAGATGTGACTCCGAATTAGTTGTTATGTATGCACAGGTTGCCATCCCGCTGCTACTGGCGTCAGAAAAAATGACGAGCTTCACTGAATCACTGATTTGCGTAACCTTTCTTTCTATTCTGCAAAGAAATTCCATCAGCCTTCTGGACTATTTCGTCCCATTGGACTTGATGTTCTTGTGAAAGAACAGTGTCCCAATCGTACTTGTCTTTCCACAACTGTTGTAGGAACCTTTCCCTGGAAGCGTCAATGGGGTTAGCCAACCTAATGGATCGTAGACTGACGCAACCTGCTCGGAAATCGTCCTCTTAGTGATCTTGTCCCGAAGTGGATACTTGCATCCCAGGACAAGTTTGTCTCCTTCGGATTCCCAGAGTATTCCGAGGATTTTTTGACTCGACTTTGAGCTCAGATCTTTTTGGTTGATGCCTTTTCTCAGCTCTTCGTCGTTCGAAACGAATTCTCTGAGGTTCATATTCATACTTCCGAAGAGTGCCTTGGAATCTCTGTACAGGTTCAACGCATCCGCTGTTGATTTCGTTGTAAGTACCACATTATCGACGTACGTGTTTCCGTCGATTTCGCGAGCAATGTGCGGATTTTCTCCGTAGTGTTCCATGTGGTACTTAATTGTTGCCGCGAGAAGAAATGGCGAGCATAAAAGGCCAAAGGTGACGCGTGTGAACCGATAGATGACAATGTTACTTGACGTTATCGGTTGCCTCGGATCCCTTACCCAAAGGAATCGAGTGGCGTCCCTATCCTGGGATGTATGCGAACCTGCAAAAATGCCTTTTCGACGTCGCTTGCCATAGCGACGTTCCTATCCGGAATCGGAGAAGAATGTCACATAGTTTTGGAAGCATGACCGGTCCTCTGTAGAGGACATCGTTGAGTGAGGGTGAGTCTTTCAGATGCGCGGAGGCATCAAATACGATCCTGAGCTTAGTCGTATTTTATTTGGTGTTATGACAGCGCGATGGGGTAGGTAGTGCAAGATTGTCCCATCTGGAGTGGCGTCTTCGTCGATTTCTTCGATTATTCCCTGCTCAAGTTGGAGTCGATCGTTTCTTGATACTGCTGAAGTATCTCAGAATTGGCTTTTAGCTTGGTCACCAGTGATTGCAGACGGCATACAGCAATGCTCTTGTTGTCGAGCAGTTGCGCTGCCTCTTTCCTCCACGGAAACCGCACATAGTAGCCATCTTCCTTCCTCTCGACTGTTCGTTGAAACTCCGTCCAGACTGCAGCGTCTGTCCGTCGTCGTTCCTCGGCAGTCGGTCCCTGGAATTCTTCTGCGCCTGAAGATTCAAATGTGCGGAAATCTTCCCATGACTGTCCTGCTTCATGGGATTCTGTCACATTCACTGTATTGACCGTAATTGTCTGGTCACTTTCGCTGTCGTTTAAAAAGCGTCATTCCGCCCGGCGACTAAATATCCCAGCTTTGAGGGGATGAGTTGTAGACCTGATGGGAGTACATGCTGAGGTGTTAATCCACTATTCAATAGTGAGAATAAGTCAGCGCATCCAAGAAGAATTTGTGGACGAATATGCTTTGTTCCTGGACTTATGGACAGTTGGAGATTGTTGTCACAAATGAAGAGCTTATCTTCGATGCAGAGGCTCTTTCGTTGCAGCGATTTTGTGACAGTGTCGATTCTGGTTACCGTGAATGAGTGAGGAGCTCCGTTGGCGTCCCATAATTGCAGCACGGTAACCCCACATAATTTCACCATTGGCGTTTGTGAGCCGAATGTGGTGATAGTCAGTCGTTTCGAGTCGATGTCTTGAAGTTGCAGCCTCTGGGCTAATTCGTTGCTGATGAAGGATCTGTCCGCTCCTGTGTCCAGCATCACGTGAACTGGCTCCAAGGCCTGTGTAGACGGGTTGAGCACTTGCGCTTGCCCCGCCAGGATGAATATGCCCTTGGTATTACTGACGTGCAATACAATGTTCGATTTGTCGTCCTCATTTATTCTGGTCGGATGTTACCGTATTCGCTGTAGTTGATGTCGGTTTTGCTTGTGTCGAAGACTTTGTCGATGTTTTCTTCGACGTTTTGGCTTGATAAGGCCCGAGAGGTGACTCTTGTTGGCTGAAGAGTTTCTTGCAAATAGAGGCGATTCCACAGATTCGGCAAACTCCTTTTGGACATTTCGTAGCCATATGAATCCTTTTCTCCGCAGTTCTGGCACAGTTTTTGCATCCTTATCAATTGAAGCCTCTGTTCAAGTGATGGAACTTCATTGCTTTCTTGCTTGATGTCCAGGTTTTCTGCAGTAGAAACACGGCCGTGGTTGGAACTTCGCAGCTTCTTTGAAGCTCCTTTTGTCGCGTACATCCGTACTTCTCAGTTTCCCGTTTTCAAGTTGTGTACGATGCTCCGTTTGACTGATGATTTTGAGCTCCGCTGCAATGTAATTCTTCGCAGATTTGAGAAGGTTCATGGTATTCCAGCGCCCTTCTGCTTCCAGTGTCGCTTTCTGACGTAGAACTTGTCTTTGAATGTCCACTGCGAATTTCGCCAGAAGCTGCTTCTGCAAAAACGTGTTATTGGTGTGCTCTCCTTTAAGCTCCAGTTGGGAGATGATTGACTGAAGTTGCTCGCATAACCATCCTTGGTCATCGAGGCGATCACTTCGTGCTTTTGTGGACTGAAGTTTGCTGAGAAGTCGATCTATCAGAGCTTGGGTATCTCCATACTTCTCCTTCAAGTGAGCGATCACAAGAGGATACATGCTACTCGAAGTCTGAAACTGCTTCACAGATTCCCTTGCTTCTCCCTGGAGAGCTTCTAGCAGGTAGTTAAGTTTGTACAACTCGTCGATGTTTCTAGAGTGTACACTGTGGTCGAAGGATCTCCAAAAGGTTTCCCATTCCCACATGTCGCCTTTGAACTTAGGAATCGGTATCGGGGCGAGCTTCATTTCTGCGACGTCTGCTGATGTCGAAGTTTCGTTTCCATTGAACCCTTCTGCTTCCACTTGAAGATTCAGCAATGTCGTTATCGCTGCATGTGCCTTGTCCAGAACTTCTTGAGCCGCTTGACTGTGCTCCTCCGTCCGTTGCAGAACTTCCGTAAGCTTCGGCATGTTTTCGTCCAAGCTGTCCACGTGTCAAGATTCCCTGTCTGGTAGCTAGAGTAGAAGCCATAGTCGAAGATAAGCTGGGTGCAGAAGTTAACGTGCAGTGTTCAGACGTGGACGTTGCGTGCAACACGAAGACGGTTGATGAAGCTATTGAATGGCTACTCACTCTCTTAGTTCTCGAAGTCTTCGGTCCTGGTCGTAATCCTCCGATGCACCATGTAAAGGTTGGCTCGGATAGGTCTTCTTGCTGGCTGCCACGCGGGTCTTTCTCCTGTAGTCGGGCTCGAACCAGTGGAACCGTCTCTTGAACCTCGCGGAGTGTCACCTCAAACTTGGGTAATTAAACTTTATTTACAGATATTATAATTAATTTTACATAGAATTAGGAGAGGTTAGCAAAAGAGAGAAATTACTGTAGAAAAGAGCCAGTCTGGAGAGCTGGAAGCTGGCTCAACTGAGGGAAACAGCGAACAAGTGGGACCCTTTTATGCGGCGAAAGTGGGCGGGTCCGACGTGTGGTAAGAAATGGAAAGCAAAGAATAATGCTTATCGGTATGAAAAAGTAGATAATGCCTTGACTCAGCATGATTAGATTCTAAAGTTACACGAATGACTCATCTCTAATGCTAGATAGAGAGAGAGCTACAGAGAACGATGGAATACATTGAATAAACGCACATAAGTAATGGAAAATAACTCAAATAAAGGATTAAAGCATCAGCAATATGACAAAGCGATAAAGCAAAAACATGGTGAGAAAATAAGCCCGTAAAATGCGCAAAAATAAGAGAAAATAGAGAAGATATTCTCTATAGAGCTAATGCTTATCATTCATTTACATTCATCATTATTTAGAACCACGAAAGGATTAGCGGTTTAATGAGTTTGGGTTTTCTTAATAGTCAGAAATGAAACTTATCATTTGCTGAAGACTTGTTTTTTAAAATTTATGCAGTCGAATTCTATTAAGTAAGCTGGACATATATATCGAAATAATGTGCACGTACCTTTGTTTGTACTACTACAACTTGTAATAGGAAGATGCCAGCTCTTACTGTCAACGTTGCGAGCGGAATGAGGATTTTGCGTTCTAGCGCGCCTTATCGGACCCTTATCAATCGTTATCAGTTTCTGGCACCCACCAACAATGTCCCCGTCCCACCCCACATAACACTTGTAAGTATGGTTGCTCTGGTGTCAACGGCGAGCCAGGCAACGGAATCGACGACTTTTTGCGTTCTAGCGCATCTTATCAGCCCTTATGTGCTAAAGCTCAATCATTACCAGAACCATGTCCGGACACGCCCGTCATAAGATTGTAAGATATAGATGTCTTTACCAATAGGAGAGCAAACGAATTGATGCTAGCTTTCCTACCTACTTGATTAGACTATTTCAGTCGTTATAGCAAGATTCTATAGTCCATTGTGGTACCATCCACCATATAACATACATGTAATAACAATGAGTGTGTTAATAGTGACTCGAACTATAATTTCGGTGCAGAAATCACAACACAGCCAGAGACACCGCCTAGCCCGCTTATATATATGTAGAATTGGTTTCAAATGAAGTTATAGATGTTTTTTTTAAGTTCGAAGTGGAAGTCCACTTAGTTTTTAGTTAGTTTAGGAACTATTTCGAGATTGTAGTCTAGGTTTTTCATACATAGCATGAGGTATGTTACATAGATATGTAACAACATGATTTTGCATTGTTTTGTTTGTTAATGCTGTTTTACGCCGCAGTTCGCGTTGGGGAATGTTAGAATTTATGTGAACCAAATAATATTTTGTAAGAAAAACCAGGATCCGCCAAAAATATACTCCTTGAATTCCTTGACACCCATAGGGTGTCAGCGTCCAGAAGGTTAAGTCAGCGACAGACAGGTCGGACCCACTCCCCAAAGATACAATCAGCAGCCTGTCATTTAACTAAGAAGGATACGGCTGCAGTAGAACCAGATTAATGATTCGCGGGGGGGGGGGTGGGGGGGGGGGGGGGGGCGTTTTTTTTTTTTGAAGTGAGAGCTTTGTCTCATACCATGCAGTCGCCTGGCGCGGTCTATCCTTGAGCGGAGTGGCCCAGGGAGATCGGAGGTGATCTTGACTTGTGGCATAATAATGAATTATTCATATACCCAGTGTTTATTTATTTATTGGGAACGTAGACGTCCCCTCTAGCTTCCCAATAAATAAATATAAGTGTATCCAGTGTCAATGTGGGTTTCCCCATGCTATGTGTTATGTGTGTGGTTGGCCGCTTTTGAGGCTGAAAGGGCTTCGCACCTAGTTGTGAAGAGAAAGCTGGGGCAACGTCAGGAGGCATGTTCAGCAATCCTTTGTTACAAGAGAGGTTAACAATTCTATTGTGGGAATGCAGGCCGACGAAAAATTGGCCTGAAGTTAAAAGGCGTCCGAAGTTCTAGGCAGCATCCACCGATGATCGCAAGTGAATAGGTACTGAACCTGAACAGGGACAAACACTCCCGAAGGTCTCGTTTTTCCCAGCAAACCGATCCATCATTCAGCTTTATTGAAATCTTCTAGAGAAAAATTAAACCTAAGGTGAATTAAAGGAGTATTCCGACAAGAAGAAGGTCGAAAGAAGGGAATATCGATCCTAACGGGAGAGAGCAGGCCTCGGTAAGAAATGACGGCATTAGGCAGAGCTAAAGATTGAACTCAACGACTAGCTGGTCTCTTCACTGTATTGCTTGCTGCAGTAAGCTCCACCGATATCTAATAGACGATAGATAGCAAGAGAGGGCGTTAGGAAGCGGCCAACGATGAAGTGTATCAGTGCGGAATGAGGACACGAAACATGATTAGAATCATAAAGGGCGTACGGTGAAGGTCGAGGCTACGAGCTCTTTACTACTCCCACTCAAAAATGAAGTCTGAATACGACATATCATCGGAGCAATAGACCCCCTGTCGAGGATTTCCTCGACCGGTTATTCACTCTGAGGCCGATAAGGAAAGTCAAAAGTAAAATGTCGCGAATTCAATTGCATCCCCGCACAGAACAGGCGTGGCTCTAAATACAAAGTGCCATAATTTGCAGCCAATTTTGAGCTTAATTCTGTAGGTGTTTACCTTTTTATTTTTCGCGAGATTGCAGACCTTCATCCTCTATCATGCCTGTTCAGTGACATATAGCAAATTCCAAACGGCTTACCGTCGTAGCGCTAAACTTACAGAGTGCCTGACCTCTCACAGTTGGTCGACATCTGGTGATGAACAGCGCTTCTTTCGATTTTCAACCTGTCCGCGGCCTACCGTTCACTAACGAGAAGGCCTATAGAAGTAGTCTTTGTTGCGGCTGCCCCACAAGTTCTGACATCTTGGATCTCAGAAAAGCATGAAGAAGAGAAACGACTGCAATAGCCGAGAAAGGTGGCCAGAACGCTACAATTTCTGAACACAGCCATGTAGATGTGTCGGATAACAACTGCTCACAGTCCATTATAAGTTGCATTAGCACCATTGCTCAATACAACGGGAGGAGCACAGCACAGACAAAACCTTTGAAGAGCTGTTGTCGAGGGCCGAAAATGGCCATCACGCGAGGTACCGTTTTCATCGACAGACAAATTCCTCACATGGAGCAGAGCTACGGTCTCCTTCGGATGCCCGCATGAGGTCTTGGGGAAGTCAGTGAGAGTGAAAGGAATATTCGCCACAAGCAGCAGCCGAACCTTATCATGGTCTGGACGGGGGTCTCAACTACCGGTCGCTCACCATCACTGCCTGTTTACAAAGGAATACAACTTGATACTAGACCGAGCCAAGGGACATTTCGGTGCACCATCTGTTACTGAGGTATCTAGCCACTTTGAGGAGGGGTGATGATCTTTTCAATAGGACCCAGCTTCTGCATAGGAGGCAAAAATTGTTCAGGAGCACTCTTTCCGATTTCACATCCTCAAACGAATGGCTCTCCTATCCCTTGATTTCAGCGTGCTGGACCATCCTATGTGGGCTATGTTAGAGGGCAGAGCCTGCACTAAACATTGCATCCACATGGATGAGCCGGAGCCTTTTCTCTGCAAAGTTTCGAAGAGAACACCCCAGGATGCCATGCCCCCCCCCTCTTTGGCTGACCCTTGAGAATCAATTTAGGGTGTCCACATACTTTTGGTACGCACTGTATGTGGCGCAAAAGATTTCGTTCCAGTTTAGCAAACTATTTTTGATGGAAAGTTTTTTCTTTGTATCAAAATTATGTGGACACCCTGAGGCAGATCAAGTTTCTTGCATCTATAACCTATTTTACTTCTCCTTTCGTTACTTATTCTGGCATCATTCCTCTTCACGGCAAGCGTTTTTCTGAAGAAGACCAAGCACAGAAATGGGATCCTCATGTTGCTGAACCTTCCTATTGCGAAATAGCACGTCAACCCGGTCGTGCGTCCTCGTTTGTTGGGAAAGATCCAGAATCCTGATGCTAAGCTTCCAACTGCTTACTGATTGAGGTCGTCTTCAATCGTTACTTGTCAACAAAGAATAGCCTGTACTGTCTCAAAATTTCTTTGGTCTGCTATCCGCGTTCGCGCTTAAATGACTTCCCTCTATAAAAAAACCACTCGGTGTTCCATCCAATCGGGTGAGCACACGACACGAGAGAAGGTTAGGCAGTTAGGCAAGGCTGGAATCCCCTGTTTCAAAAATAAAATCACAACATGGGACGTTGAACCCGACAGACAGCGCTTTTGTGAAAACTATAAGATAAGAATAAAAGACGCTCTGTGGAAAATTCCCCCTTAGACAACCTCGACTGGTGAGAAAAGCTTATCTTTGCTATTCGGGTGGATCTCGTTGCTAATGGAGGGACCTTCGTCGTGACCCGCAGCTGTACTCAAAGAGACATTTCGGAGGAGGCTTCATCAATTGTCTGGGGTGGTTTCCAAAAGGAGGGAAAATTGGAGTTTGGCTTGCCAACATGTCAGGTAGACAACTAGGATTATAATGAGGTGCTTGGATCCCGACTTATACCTTTTT